GGGGGGAGGGGGAAGAGGAAGAGGAGGAGAGGAGGAGGAGGAGGAGGAAGAGGAGGACAATGCGGAGGAGGAGGAGGAGGAGGAGGAGGAGGAGAAGGGGGAGGGGGCTCCCCGTGTCTGTCGATTGTCGCCCCGTCGACGTCGGCAGCCGCATGCCGTACCTCCTGCCCCACCTACCAACCATCGCATCGGATATGGTTCCTCTTCTCATTTTGCTCTCTGCAGTTGTTCGCTCTCTCGTCGTCCGGGGGCACCTGCCCCCGCCATCATGGCCGCAGATCCGGGGAGGGACGAGATGCCAGGGGGGGTCGAGGACGGGGAGTTGCTGGAGGACGACGTGGAGATGGAGGTGGGCAGGCGCCAGCCTCGGCGTCGACAGGAGCAGCGCTGGGCGGTGGGCCTGCAGCCGACTACCTCCCGCCCAGCTTCGAGTCGAGGATGCGGCATCCCCTTCGAGAGCCAGGAGCTGCGACTGGCTCCGTGGAGCAGCCGGGATCGAGGGAGATGGAAATGCCTCTCATGCATCAGCCCTCTCGTGCATGGTGCAGATATTCTGTCCTCAACTGGGCATGCCACGGAAGAGCACGCGCAAGCCGCGCGGGCTGCCCTGGCTCGGCAGCCGGCCCCGCGCCCGCAGAGGCAGCCGCGTGAGGGAGAGGCAAACCCGCTGCCGCCGCCGCTACACCACGATTGGGACAGCGGCGTGCTCACCAACCGCGGGTGGTGGGAGCGCCTCTCCTGGCCTGCAGCCGTGCGCATTTGCGCGTCTACCTTCGTGCAGGTGCTAGATCGGTTCCGGGGCGCTTTCGTGACCGCCCGCCTCAAGCTGCTGGAGGTGCTGGCGGCGGCAGCCGTGAGAGGGGGCACCGAGCAGGAGTGGAAGGCGCTGCTCCTCTTCGACGCGCTTCTCACGGCTCAGCCGGCCAGGCAGAGGCTTTCGAGGAGCGTTTGGCGTGGTGGTGGGGAGGCCAGCGGGGCGCGCTGCGGGGGGGCGCCGCCGGACGGTCCGCGCCCCCAGCCAAGGCCGCTCAGCAGGAGCAGGCGGGCGAGCAAGAACGGGGGGCGCGGCGGGTCCACACTCTGGCCGCAGCCGGCGAGGAAGGACGGGCGCTCGGGGCAGCGCGGGGCACGCCGCTCGCTCCACGCAGCCGCAGCACGCTGGAGAAGGCGCGTGCTGCTTTCCCCCCGCCTTGGCGGAAGTCGGCCCTGCCCAGCCAGGCGGCCCTCGCGGGTCCGCTCCTGACCCAGACCTTCGGGGCGAGGTGCTGGAGGAGGTCAGCGAACTCCTCCGCGAGCCTCCCCGGCTGACCGCTCCAGGCTTGCTCGGGGCCCGCCTGGAGCACCCCGCCGCGGTGGCGGACGACCCAGAGGCGCTCTCTTTGCTGGCCCAGGCGGTCACGAGGCTCACTTTCGGGGAGGTGCCCGCGCCGGTGCTCCAAGCCCTCCGGGTGGGCGAGGTGGTGGCCCTGGACAAGGGGAACGGCGACGTCCGCTCTCTGCTCGTGGGGGCCAGCCTGAGGAGGCTCGGGACGCGCGCGCTGGCCCGGGTCAAAAAGGGGGGCTCCAGCAGACGGCGGGCCCCCGCCAGTGCGGAGCTGGCCGGAAGTGCGGGGCCGACTTGGTGGTCAAGCAGCTGCAGGCCTAGTCCGACGCTCACCCGGGGATGGTGTTCAGTAAGGTGGACATCGAGGCGGCCTTCCAACGCCTGCGGCGAGACCCAGCCATTCGGGCCATGGCTGTCCACGTGCCAGAGATAGCGTGGGTGCTCGACAAGTGGTACCCCGGGTCCGCCAAGCACCTAGCTCTGGCGGGACGCAGCGGGGAATTTCGAGGAAGTTGAGAGCACGCTTTGCTTTGACCAGGGGGACCAACTGGCGCCAGCTGCCTTCTCGGTCGGCCAGAGGGCAGCGCTCTCGCAGCTGCTGGAGGAGCTCTCGCGGCAGGGCCAAGACGTGACACTCCACTCCTAGTTTGGCGACACCTACCCGGTGCCCCCAGCGAGGCTCACCACGGTCGCCCTCGGCCGCCTGGGAGAGCTCCTGGAGCCCCTCGGGCTGGAGCTCAACGCCAGAAAGACGCAGGTGTGGTCTCCGTCTGGGCCGCAGGCTGTCCCCCCAGAGCTACGCGCGCACTTCGTGCCCGCGCTCCCCGTGCTCGGCGCGCACCTGCGGGCGCGGGGCGACGTGGCCGACGCGCCCTTCGAACTCGGCCAGAACAGCGGCCTGGGGCAGGCGGCCGGGCGCTTGACGCAGCTCTGGGACGCCCTCCGGCCGCTTGGGGAGCGCACGGTTGGCGAGCACGGCCGCTCGCTGCAGGCGACTGGGAGTTTGCTGCGCACCTACGCGGGCGCTGCGAACCAGCGCGTCCTGCGCGCGCAGTTGGCCGGCGAGGCGGAAGCGGCTCGCTACGACGCCACGCTGGCGGGCTACTGGGAGGAGCTTGCCGGGCGGCCCCTGGACGCCGCGGCGCGGGAGATCCTCGGCCTCCCCCTCAAGCTCTCTGGCGCGGGGCTGCAGTGGGCGACTGCGCGACGAGCCGCGGCCTTCTGGGCCGGCTGGGCCGCCTGCGTGTCCAGCGTGGCCGCGGACCTCGGCGCCGACTCCCTGCTTGAGCTCCTGGGCGCGGCGCCGCGGCTCGGCGAAGCCCTCTCCGACGCGCGGGCGGAGCTCCCCCTCCAGGGCGCGGGCCCCGCGCCGGGCGCTTCCTTGCTGGACGCCCTGCAGCGCCCGACGAAGCAGAGCGCTCTCGTGCAAGCTGTGCAAAAGAAAACCCACGCTTCCCTGGGGCAGCGTTTGCACAGCCACGAGCGGGCGACGCTCCTGGGGGCTGTGGGGGCCAGGGGCCGCAGGGTTCCTCGGTTACCCGAGCGATCCTGCTTGCTCGCTGGAGGGCGCGCTCTGGGCCACGGGGCTCCGTGCCCGCGCGCTTGCCCAGGCCGGAATGCGCGCAGGCGGAGCTCCAGACGGCCGCGCAGACCTGCCAGAACCGCCCTGCAGAAGGAGCCCGCGGCGCGCCCTGCGGACAGCCGCCGGGCGAGCAAGGCACGCACGCGGCCACCTGCGCCCTGGGCGGCGGCGCGGGGCGCCGCCACGGCAGCTTCGAAAACGCGGTGGCCGGCCTGGTCCGCCGTTGGCTGCACCAAGAGCCGCCGACGGAGCAGCGGGTGCCAGCTTGGGGCTGGATCCGCAGCCGGCGGCCAGCAGACCCGCCAGACGCAGACCTTCTGGAGCGCGCGGTTCTCGACGTCGAGTACAACGACGGGGCCAGCCGCCACTGGATCGATGTGTCGGTCCGCCACCCGGCAGCCGAGGACGTGGCGCAGGCGGCGGCGCGCCGGCCTGGCGAGGCCGCTAGGAGGGGCGAGCGCCAAAAACACGCCAGGTACCCGGGGGGCAGACTGACGCCATTCGTGGTGGACCCCCCAGGCGCCTTGGCGGAGAAGCCCGACAATGGCTTCTGCGGCAGGTGCGCACCCTGCACGAAGACCGGCAGCCCGGCGAGCTGCCTCGGGCCTACAAGGTCGTCAGCTGTGCCGTGCAGGCGCAGCTGGCGCTGCAGCGCCGCCTTGCAGCCGGGCTGGCCTGAGCGCACACTGAGACAAGGCGCGCCGCTCGCAGCACGTCTGGCTCACTGCTTCCCTCCTCCTCCTCCTCTCTGCTCCCCCTCCCTTCTCCTTTCCCGCTCCTTGCCTCCGGCGGTCGCACGAGCGCCTAACGGGGGGTGCCGGTGGCGCGGGGCCCCCGGCCGCGCTGCCGTCGCCTCCGCCTCCCGGTTCTCTCCCGGCTCCTCCTCCTCCTCCTCCCGGCCCCCGCCAGAGCGCCCGTTCCGTCGGGGGCGGGCGGGGTGCCCGAGTGCTGACCGGCTCCGAAGGGAGGCCGGGGCCCGGCAGGTTTGCTGCTGCGGCGTGGAGTGACAGGGGCCCGAACCCCAAGGCCCGGGGGCCCCCGTGCGACGGGGGCGGGGGCCCACTCGGGTGCCCCCGGGCCAGCATCAGGAGAGGATGAGGATGAGGATGGGGAGGGGGGGGAGGAGGAGGAGGCGGAGGAGGAGGAGGGGGAAGAGGAGAAGGAGGAGGAGGAGGAGGGGGTGATGATGATGATGATGATGAGGAGGAGGAGGAGGGGGAGGAGGAGGTGATGGAGGAGGAGGGGGAGGAGGAGGGGGGGGAGGAGGAGGAGGAGGAGGAAATGATGATGATGATGGTGATGCTAACGATGAAGATGGTGATGCGGAGGAGGAGGTGGAAACGGAAGAGGAGGATGATGATGGGGAGGAGGAGGGGGCAGTAACTTGGGGCAGGCGGGTAGGTAGGCGGTATGGCCTCGCCCGCCAGGTCCCATCCAGTGAGCTCCCGTGGGGGCGCAGTTTCTCTCGCCCGCGAAGGCTTCCGCGAATCTGAGCGGATTGGCTATGGATGGACGCGCAGTTCTCAAGGGGCCCAAGGCCCCGAGATGGGGCTCTGGGCAGTGTGGCAGGGCGTCCAACTGGGCCTCGCGCGTTCAGTTCGCGCGTGGGGCCTCGGCGCCAGGGTCGACAGTGGACAAAACGAAAACAGCAAACACGGCCACCAGTGGAGGGGGCGGGGGCAACTCGAATGGCCAGCCACCCACCTGGGCGGCGAAGTTTGAGGCTCAAGCCAAGCAGACTGCAGCGCCCACGCCCAAGCTCGATAAGATGACCAAGGGCGGACCAGGTGGAGCCGGGCCTGCGGGGGCCAGCTCTGGCCAGGGGCCCAAGTCAGCGGACCCGAAGGAGACGGAAGCAGAGAAATGTCGAGAAAGGGCTGAGATGCTCATCCAGGCCATCCAAGGCATGGGTTCGAACAAAGACAACTCCAGGTGAAGGTCAAGGAGACCCGCAAGCAACGGCTCCATGTGTTCAAGTCGTAGCTCACCCAGCGCGCGACTGCGGGCCATCAGTTCGCTGAACTGGAACCCAAACGGGGGGCGGCGGTCCAGAGAAAGAAGGGGCAGGAAGAGGCCATCCCTGCAGCTCGAGAGGATATTGAGAAGCACGACAGGGCCATCAGCAACTTCGACGATGAGGTTGTGCAGGCCACGCGTGAGTTGGCGAACGCACTCCCAGAACACGTGTATTTCGATTGCGACGAGGCCGAGCTCGAGGGAGACACGGAGGTCAAATACATGCTCGCCTCCGCAGCCTGGGCGCGCTGCCGCACCGAGACCAAGGAGAAGGGGGGGATTTGTGGTGGGGCCCTCCTGCAGTTGCTGATGGTGGCGCAGTGCAAGGCAATGCAGCATGCTGTGATGCCGCAGAAGAACCTGATGACAACGATGTGGGCACCCTGTGGCAAGCCCCCCCAAGGCGAGAAACGCATATAGTTGGAAAAGTTACGCGCACTTGGATACAAGAGGCCGGGGCAAGGGTAGCAATCCTGATTCAGATGAGAATTTGCGCTGGTGCTGGCAAGCTTGCTATGATCCTGGCCTTGGGGCAGCTCCAGGACAGAGGCCCAGCGCAGCGGGCGCGAACGCAAAAGGCCAGGTGGGCCTGGGTGTCGAGTCCAATTTTTACGGCTTCATGGTGGACAAGGTAGGCTCCCGTGAAGATCTGCATCAGGTTAACGGTGCATGTCGCACTGCTGCGGCGAGAACTCCTACGGGGGCGGCTCCAGGGTTCTCAGCGATGAGCTTGCAGGCGACTTCGGCCCCCACTCATCTTTCGGGGACTGCGGGGGGGGGGGCTCGCCCTCGGAGCCACCGCTGGGCGCAAGCTCGACGAAGATGGACGAAGCTGGAGAGAGACCCAGCGCAGCGGGCACGAACGCCACAGGCCGGGCGGGCTTTGGTGCCGAGTCCTTTGACGGCTTCGCGACGTGCCAGGTGGGCCCCCGTGAAGATCTGTTTATGGTTAATGATGATAAGCGCGCCGATGTGGCGAGAACCCCGTACTGGGGGGCTCCAGGGCCTTCGGCGACGAGCTGGCAGGCTAGTTCGGCCTCTACTCACTTTTCCGGGGCCTCGGGAAGGAGCTCGCCCTCGGGGCCACCGCTGGACGCAAACTCGAAGAAGACATGAGCTGAATCTGATTTCAGATTATACTTTGCCAACAACATTAGTTATGGCGACAGGGCGAAGGGTCAGAGCAAGGATTGGTCACTCATGCATGCAGGACTGCAAAATGTAGATCCACCTGCGCCTCATCTTGCTGGATTCGCGGAGCACCACCTGAAGGGGCCAAGCTCGCGGAGATGAGGGAAAGACTTCGTCAAGTCAACAAGGATGGAGGGGGGATCTGGTCAGCGCACAGGGGGCCTTCAATTGTGGACGGCAGGGCCATGGAGGCGTTGCAGTGTGTAGCAGGTCGCATTTACACGCGCAGGTGCCCGCCGTCGGTGAGGGGCTTCTCTATCCAGATGATGGGCCACAATTGCCTAGCCAATGGGCGGTGCAGTGGGTGCGTTTCCAAACTGTTGACGTCGCTTTTGTGGCAGCCTACTTCGTGGTCGGGGTGGGCCTCGCAGAGTCTAATCTCTCCATGCTGTCGGAGATCGGACAGTGCTTGGGGCGCGCGGCCCCCCCCCCCCCCCTTCGTGACCATGGCCGGTTGAGGCGCGGCGCTGGGCGAGGTGGGGCCAGGGGGTTTTGGCGCGCGTGTTGGCGGGGAATGGGTCGCGCCAGGCCCGCGCCTGGATGGGGGATATTGGTTGGTGGCATGTGTATTTCTTATTCCCTACGGCGTGCCATGGACCTCTCTTGGGGCGTGTTCTCACCCTGGGCAGCTCCGCGCTTCGGGGTCAGCGGGGTGCTCGAGAAGTCGGGCTTCGCCGTGCAGCAGCGCGTGGCGCTGACGCCGTTGCCCATCGCACCTGGCATGCGTGGGCGCGATCGACCGTGGGGGCACTGCTGCGAGGAGGTCAAACACCGCCTCAAGAATGGCATGTCTCGCCCTGGCACGCGGGGGCCACGTGGGGCGGGAAGAGGAGGCCAGCGATCACTACATGGCCTTCGGGTTGGTGACAGGGGGCCTGCTGCTGGGCAGGGGGGTGGAGAATGGGGTGCGCCTCTTCGCGTCCACCAGGAATGGCATCAAGATTGAGGCCCAGGGGGTCCAGGTTGTTCCCGCGAAACCTAAGGGATGGATGGCCCACGCCTCTAGCGTGGCCAAGTGGGGGGCCCGCGGGGCCCGTCTGCTTGAGCGCGCGGGCGTGGCCCGGAAGAACAGGGCCATCCTTCTTCGGAGGCAAAGGTGGGACAGCCCACAGAGTCAAGTGAGTGGGTGCCATGGTCTCGCTGGCGTCCTTTCTGGGGAGGCTTAAATGCGTTATCAGGACAAGGTTGAGGTTGCTCGCTTTCAGGACCTTGCCGGCTTCCAGGGGCTCCAGGACCTGGCCGAGGAGCGCGGGCGAATTGTTTGGCGCGTTGAGCAGTTCCACGGCAGGCAAGCTTCGAAAGGTTTTAAGAATGTGCCCCGGGAAGTTTTTTTTTTCAACTGGGTGGGGGGGGCCCCCGCCGCTGGGCCGAGGCGCGGGGGTAGCCGGCGCCGACTCTTGCCCCAGCGCGTGGCCCTGGGGGGGGGCCCATCGTGGACCCCCTTCTTTCCGTGGCGGCTTAGGCGGCCGCGTGGGACGCGCTGTGGCGCCCGCGGGCCGGTGCTCAGGGGCCCCCTCGGGGCCGAGGCAGGTGGCCAAGCTTATAAGCGCGTGCGCGAGAAGCTCGAGGCGAGCTTCAGCCGCTTGAGTTTGCCGATCTGGAGTCAGTGCCGTCGAGTTTCCGCCCAGTGATTGGAATGGGCCTGGATGGCCAAAACCCGAAACATTGGGCCCAGTTGCCGCTGGCGGAGCGCAGACTGCTGTTCGGCCTGCTCCAGCAAGTTGAGGGCGCGATGATCTGGCCATGCCGGGTTCGAGACAATGTGGCGCAGCTGCTGCGCAAGTCGCCGATGGCAGATCGCCCAATATCCTTCGCGCAAGGCCTATATCGATGTTGGGCGGTGGCGAAGCGGGGGGCGGTGGCGACGCGGGCGACCGGGGTGGGTGGGGCTCGCTTCTGGGGCAAAACCATCGGGGGCAGTTCGGCTTTAAGATCAGCGATTTCGTGCCAATTCCAGTTAGAAATTTCAATGGTCCAGGGGTTCTCCTGGGCCGAGGTCCCGCGGGGCCCGGGGACGTGTTGCGATCGCCTCCAGTGTTTCGAGGTTTTTATGCTCGGCAGGGCCACGGGGCACTCGATGTTTCATCTGTTCATGGCCTTGCAAATTCACTTCGCCCCGCGGAGTGTGAGGGCGGGGGACTGCCTCGGTGCAGTAATCATCCCCTGGACGGGGAATCTTGGCTGGATGCAATCGATCCGTCGATGTGGCCAGAGTTGGACCGTGCGAGTTTTTGCCGGATCTGCACGGCTCCTTCCGACCTCTCCAAATCGATTCGTGGGTGGGCGACTGTTCGCAGCGGGTGGCGGGGCACCCTAGGGGGGTTGTCGCGAAGGGCGCGCAGGTAAGCGGGAAGTTTTGGAAGCCAGGGGGGGCTCGAGGTCTCCAGCAAGAGCCTCGGGAATTCAGCCGTCGCTCCGCTCAGATGGTCTGCGTGTGAATACTTGGCAAGTTGGCAAGGACCTGGGGGTTGACGCAGAAGAACCGCATCTCTTCGGCTGCGGGTCGCGCCAAGATGATCGCGCACGTTGTCGAAGTCACCGCGAGGGTGCGCGCATTGGGGGTATAGTTTTTTGTTTTTGCTCCGGGCGACGTGGGGGCTAGAAGGTGCAGGGGGGCTGGCCCCCCTGTCGCTAACGCGTCTGCGAGCTCAGGTGGCGGCGCTGTCAGGGGCGCGCTTCGCAGGCGGCTGCTCCGCCGCCGCGATCGCTATGATGATGGGGTCCGATCGGGACCTGCTGATGTTTGGCAGGCTTCGCATCTTCCGCACTTGGTGCGAGCTCCCGCCGTCTGCGCTGCAGGCGCCTGGGCGGCCTCTGGCACTTGCGTGGAAAAAGGCCCGGCAGCAACTGATGTCGGCACAGCGCCGCTGGAGTCATGTTAAGGGCCCGTCGCCGCTGTCATTGCTTGCCTGCGGGGCGTAGAATGGGCGGCGCCATGGCCGTGGATTTCGATCTCGCCCGAACAGGAGTGTTTCGATCTGCGTGACTGTGACCCTGAGATGCTCATCGACGTTGAATTGCGAGGTTCCCTGGGTGCCCAGATTTGGGGCAAGGCCGCAAAGCATCATCTCGGCAAGGTCTTGAATTAAGTTCGGATTTCTCGGCACCCAGTCGTCGCGTGAAAAGACTTGAGCGCCGTGGCCCATGGGCCCGCGTAATAGTTTTGAATTGTCCTGACAGGTAGCCTCCTGCCAGCGGCCCGCAGGTTCGGGGAGGAATCGAGCCGCCCCTCCCGCCTGCCGCCGCTGCCTCTGTTTCTGTCTCTCTTCCCTCGGCCCCGCTGGCGGCCGCGGGCGCCCCGGGGGCGCCGTGAGGCGCGCGCCCCGGGGGCGCCGCGAGGCGCGCCGTCGGCAGGTGGCGCTGACGAGCTCGACTGGTCCGAGACCGTGGACCTAGAGGCCGGGCAGAATGGCCCGCTTGCCCCCGAGGAGGAGGCTGGGCCCTGGACCGCCCCTGCCCGCCCGCGTTGCGGGGGCACCGCTGGGGGCGATCCTGCTTCGTCTCCGGGGGCGCCCCTTTGATCCGGAGATCGAGGGCGCTCGCCTTGAGTTGCCCAATGAAGCGACGATCGGGTGGGAAGCGTTTCGGTGCTTCTCGTCGAGGGGGTCGCCGCCGCCCAGATGGGCGAGCGGGCCCGCTCTAGTTGATGTCCCTAGTGGTCCTGTGCCCCCCCCCCAGCCTCAGCCAAAGGCCAATCGATCTGAAGGTTGGGGTGTGGGCGTCGTCCCGGGGGCGGACCGATCGGGGGCGCCGTGCTCGTCCGAGCCCGGGCTGAGGCGGCGTGGGCCCCCCCCCCCCCGCGCGCGCACGCGCGCGCGCGCCATGATTAGGGGGGCATCCAGTTGGGCTGGGGCCATGGGCCGCTGCCTGGGTATAAGGAGCAAGCCGTTCCCCTGGCTGAATTGGAAGGAGTGGTGCACGCGTTGGGGCGCGCCCGAGGGCCCGCCGCGCATGCTGTCGACTCGTCGATCGCGATCGGGACTTTCCACAGAGGTTGCGAGCATGCGCCCTCCTGCGAAGGTTGCGCGCGCTGGCTGGCGACAGGCAAATTTCTGCGATGAAAGTCAAGAGCCGCGCCCGACCTGCGCCCGAGCAGGAGGATGGCCCACCCGCGTTGCCCTGGATTGCCAACGGGGCGGCGGCGCGGCCGCGGAGGGAGGGGCTTGGAGGGCCCAGCTCCCTGGCAGCGTGGTCGCTGAGGTATGCGCGACCTATGACCTAACTATGAAGGTGCAAAAGCACCTGATAGCTGTTGCGCTCCACATAGTGTCGCGGGCGCCGCGGCTCTGCGGCCCCAGCTCCAAGGCCGCGCGCGCGGCCGAGGCAGTGGTGCGGGGCAAGGGGCGGGCGTTTAATGTTGAGGTGGCGAAGGCTGTGTCGGCCCATCGGGTCGCCTCGGGCCCGAACGGTGTCAGGTGCGCCCTATGCATCATCAGACCGACCGCCGATTTAAAATTGCAAGAATGGTTTGCAAACCCCTGCCCCAAGGTCCCGCGCGACACCGATCCCTCGCGTCGGCTGGACTGTTGTAAAAAGAGGGTTTTCTGCTGCCAGATGTGCGGGGCAACAGGGGCGATGGGGGGCGCGCGTCAAGCTGGGGGAAGGCTGCCGCCCTGAACGCGTTGGCGCGTGGGGCAGGCGGGTGATCAAGTCCCTCGCGGAAGGAAGGCCGCCCCCAGGGTTTCAGCGCTGGCTGGAGCCACATTGTTAAGCTTTGGTTTTGGCGTGCCCGCTGTTGAGACTCGCGCTGTAGGTCTGGACTTGGGCGAAGAGGAGGAACAAGAGGGGGGGCGAGGGGGGGGGGAGGACGAGGAGGACACATAAGAATAATAATACGAATACTATTAATACGGATAAGAAGAATAATAGGAATAATACTGGGGAGGATAAGATTAATAATCGTAATCATAAGACTAATAATACTACTACTACTAATAATACTAGTAACCCGAAATATAAGAGTAATACAAGTAATCATAATACTAATGATAATCCATATAAAAAGAACAATGCACATAATACTAATACTATTTCGGATGATACGAATACTAATACTACGAATACTAATCATACTATTAATCATGGTACTACTACTACTACTACTACTGATATTAATATTACGAACGCTCATACTAATACTACTAATAATAACACCATTAATGATACGAATACTAATAATAATACTAGCACTACATGGTGAAACTAATCATTCGTAATAAGAAGAATCATGACAATACAAATTCTAGTAATAGCAACGCTACTACTACTACTACTACTACTACTAATACTAATCATAGTATCAACAATAGTGATACTACCACTTGTACGAATACTAATACCAATACCAGTAAGAAAAAATACGATTACTACTCTTATTCCTATTACTACTACTACTAATACTACTACTACTACTACTACTACTACTACTACTAACGCTATTATTATTAGTAATAACAATAATACAATGAATATTAATAATAGTAAGAATACGACGAATCGTACTGAGCAGTAATAAGCATAGCCATATCAGTAGTAATAGTACTACTACGATTGAGAATAATAATATTAATGGTACTATTCATAATAACAACACTAATATTAATACGAATAATAATAATAATAATAATATAATGATAATAGTAATGATAAAACCAATCGTACTACTACTAATACTATTCGTACGACTAATAATAATATTATTATTAATAATAAAAACAGTAGTAATAATAATAATACTAATACTAATACTAATATTAATAATAATACTAATAATAATAATGATACTAATGATAATAATACAATAATAATACTAATAATAGTGATAAGAAAAAGAAGATGAGGAGGAGGAGGAGGAGGAGGAGGAGGAGGAGGACGACGAGGAGGAGGAAGAGGAGGAGGAGGAGGAGGAGGAGGAGGAAGAGGAGGAGGAGGAGCGGCGGGGCGGAGGAGGAGGAGGAGGGGAGGACGAGGAAAAAAGGAGGAAGACGAGGAGGAGGAGGAGGAGGAGGAGGAGAAAGAGGAGGAGGAGGAGGATGATGAGGAGGAGGCGGAGGAAGAGGAGGAGGAGGAGGAGGAGGAGGAGGAGGAGGAGGAGGATGAGGAGGAAGAGGAGGAGGAGGAGGAGGAGGAGGGTGCAGGAGCGCAGGATCACGGCGCAGATGCGGGCGCGGCGCCCGCGAGGAAAACGTGTCCTATTGCGGGAGGCGCGCCCGTTGGGTTCGGAGCGGCCGCCTCGTCCGGGCGGGCCGTTTGCGCTGCGCCGTCGTCGTCGTCGTCGTCGTCGTCGTTTCTTGTCGGCGTCCGTTTCGTCGTTGCCGTTGCCGTTGTCGTCTTTGTAGTCGTTTTGGTCGTTGTGGTCGTGGTCGTGGTCGTGGTCGTCGTCGTCGTCGTCGTCGTCATCGTCGTCGTCGTGGTTTTTGACGTCCTCTTTGTCGCCTGGCCGTCGTCATGGTTGTCGTGGTTGACGTCGTCGTCGTCGTCGTCGTCGGGGATCGACGGTCGATGATCGAGATTCTTGGGACGTTCTGGGCATCTTCTTGGCCTTCAGGGGGCGCCCCCGCCACGACGGTTGGGGTTCACGGGGGGTTGCCAGCCCTCGGCCCTCTGCTCCCTTTCGTGTCCTCAGACCTCCGGGGTCCACAACAGGAAACCAAGCGACGAGTTTTCCAGCTTTTGTGCCCTTGGACTGCGGCCGATGCCTTGGCGATGACAGGCGAGTGGGAGGGAGGGGGGGATCGGCCAGTCGCGTCACGGTTCGCGCTGGCGCCGTCCTGGGTATGCCTAAGCATCGTTTATCCTCAGACGGCGCCAGCGCGAATTGCGACGTGACCAGGGCGGGGCTGGTCACGGGCGTCATCGGGAACAGTAGCAACTGGGCTCCAAAGGGTGGGGGTAAGGGCTGTTTGTGTGTGTGTGTGGATATCGTTGGGCCACGATATTTCCGCCCATGGCTCCGCGAAAACGGCCAAAAACTGCAATACTACTCTGTTTGTGTTCACCTTTTCTCCAGTCCGGGTCAGGGGCCGCGGTTCGCAGGTGTGGAGCTGTTTTTGTACAGGCTAATACGCATGCATGTGCAGTCCGTAGCCTTTGACTCAAACCCCTGGCTCAAGGCCGTCTGGGTTCGAGCACGCCCTTGGCCAGGTGCGGTGCTCATGCTTTGGCATGATGGAAACCTAGGCGGCGCGGCGACGGCGGCAGGTTCGTGCCGCTGCCGGTCGCCGCTTGGCTGCCGCCGCCGCCGGCGCCCCGGTCGTCGCGGGCCCGCCCGGGCTTTCTGGCGCCGCTGTCGCGCTTGCTGTTGCGAGCGCTTCCGGCGCTGCTGCGCCGCCGCTTCGTCCTTCGTTGCCGACGCTCCCTGAGCGGTCGGCGCGGGCTGCGCTGCTCGCCCTCTCGCCCCCGCGGGCGCCCCGGGCGCTGCCGACGCCCCTGGGCACGTCGGCGCGGCCCGAGTGCGCCGTCCCGCTGGCGCCGCCGTCGCGGCTGGCGCCTCTTCGGCCGCCGCTGCCAGCGCCGCCGACGCCCCGTGAGCGGTTTGCGCGGCCAGCGCGGCTTGGCCGCCCGTCTCGGCGGGCAACGCGGGCGCCGCCGACGCCTTCGGGAGCGTTGTGGCCCGCGCCCTCCTGTGGGCCCCTGCGCCATGCGCCGCCGGCGCCGCTGACGCTGCCGACGCCGCTGGCGTTGGCGCTGTCGGCGCCGCCAGCGCTCCTGGCCTGGCCGCCGCCGCCGCTGCGGGCGCCTGTGCTGCGGCCGCCGCCGCCGCCGCCGCCGCCGCCGCCGCCGCCGCCGCTGCTGCTGCTGCTGCTGCTGCTGCTGCTGCTGCTGCTGCTGCTGCCCGCGCGGGCCGCGGGCTGGCCGCGGCCGGGCTGGCGCTGGCCGCCGAGTTCGCGGCCGCCGACGTCGCGGCGCCCGCCGACGCGCGCGTGGTGGAGGAGGATGAGGGGGGCGTGGGGAACGACTTGGGGCAGGGCGCGGGGAAGGCCGTCGCGGCGGGTGGGGGGGCGACGCGTGCGACGCTGCTCTGGCGACGCCCGCGTGCTCGACGGCGCTGCCGAGAGCGTCGGCGCCGGCGCCCGCGGAGACCCGACAGCGCCGTCGTGGCCAGCCTGGGTGCCCAGCGGATTCGACGGTGGAGGGCGTCGAGGAGGGCGTCGAGGAGGTGGGCGAGGCGCGGGGGGCGGTGGGCGAGGATGGGCATTTCATCGACGCGGGGGTTGAGGAGGCGGAAGTGGGTGAGCGGGGGCAGGGCCCAAGTATTCGTCATGGGCGCGGGCGATGAGAAGGGCGAGGGCGAGGATGAGGATGAGGACGAGGATGAGGATGGTGATGATGATGATGATGATGATGATGGTGATGATGATGATGATGATGAGGAGGAGGAGGAGGAGGAGGAGGGGGAGGAGGAGGGGGAGGAGGAGAAGGAGGGGGAGGAGGAGGAGGGGGAAGAGGGGGGGGAGGGGGAGGAGAAGGAGGGGGATGAGGAGGAGGAAGTAAATCTGCTCCTCTCCGCCTCATGTTCATGCTGCTTTCCAAATCGCTTGCTTTGCTGCGCACTGCGTGACTATCTGCAGCTGTGTTGTACTCAAGCTACGCGTGAGCGTACAGGAGATAAAAGGAGCGTGCTGGTTCGCACGCGTGCGTCGAGGGGTCGCCCCCTCGTCGTACTCGTGTCGTCGGCCGGCCGGCCTCCTCACTTACTACTCTTGATAGAGTACATTTGCTTGCCGGTTACTTGTCTCATCGATGTCTCATCCCGCGCCCTCTACCGCTGGGCAGAGTGAACACGATACCTTAGTTCCTTTGTCATCTGACCCCGATTCTCAGAGGAAAGATTGGTTATCAGCCGAAACTCGCGACATAGTCGTTAGGGGATTGAGTCGACCAGGAGACTGGTGTTCCGACGAACCCCGTGACTTAGTCGCTACGGGTATGAGCTATGATGAGACAGATGAAATGTCCGTCACTTCGCGTAACGCTGAACAGCGAGTTGTACAACGCGACGGACGTGAACTACAGGAGAGCGGCCCGGGGCAGGGCCGCCTTCCCCCTTCTAGTATTGCCTATCGGGTCCCTCGGGGTAGGAGTGGCGGAGACTCGTCGGAAGATGGTTCTTCCTCTAGAGTTCCGATCGGTAATCGCGAACAAACCACCGACCCGCACAGGCGAAATGGCATAACAGCAAGATCCAGACGAGGAGCATTCTCGTTTTTGATCGCTGAATCTTCGGAGACGATAAGTCCTATCCCGATTGCTGCACAGACAATCGTGCCGGCCGCTGGCGAAGCCAGTGGGTCGGGAGAAGCGCACGAGTCCACAGGCGCGCGCCCCAACGTCCCTACGGACGGGGAGGCGCGAGCGGAACTCTTCCCATCCCAATGGTATTGAACGTGCAGTTCGGCCAAGATAGTGACGAGCCACTTGGCAGAGAACATGAGATAAACTCCATGGAAGAAGATTTTGAATACGCGAACAAAGGAGTTTCTTTGAGCCGAGACTTGTCCTTGATACTGGATGCAGACCATCCCGCCCAAGGCGAGCGGCGGTCCCCAGACGGTTCAGATGTCGATGCAAGTGACCTGACGCCTCAGGCGGTCAAGGCTGATATCAAACATCAATCACAGGCGCAGCGCGATAGAGAGCCTACAGGACGGACTCCTGCACCTCAACTCAAGAAGCAGAGGAACGAGGATTACGATTTGAACGATTCACCGCTTCGGGAAGGATTCCACCGTTCTACCGTCGCCCCAGGCGGTTGGCAACCCTCGATGCCGGCCGTTGTTGGGGGCGAAGAAATGGTTGAACAACCAGCTTCGTATGCTGAGCTAATAAGACATGATGAAAGGGATGAGGAGCTTCGAGAGGCGCCAAAACCCCCGGAGAGCACGTGTACACGTCCCAGATCGAACGCCTCGAGTAGGGGAAGACCTAAGATACCAAGATCAGGAGCTCGGTCTGCTTCAAGGAGCAACAGTACTATATCCGTGCTTGATGCATGTTGGAACTGGAGCCCCGACTGCACGCCGCAGGCGGAAAACGGATTCCCGGGGAAAGCCCGCGGGCCAGATGGAGCTTGCCGACGTCCAGTGTGTAAGAGTTGCTCGGATGTGTGTCCCAATTGTAGCAATCAATGGTTGTGTGTAGATTGATTTCCCATGAGTGAGCATAACTGCGCATTTCCTCCCATGCAAGCCATGCAGAACCAAGCTAGATTTGTTGAAGCTAAGACTCAGCGGGAGTTCCTGCAGCGCGAAGTGCAGAGGGCCGAGAAGGCTCGACTTGAGCGAGAAGAAACGACCGCAACCATCGAGAATGTTCGGAAGACGTTCGAGGCCGAAAGACTTGCCTCGGCGAAGGCTGCCAGAGAGCGAGAATTGGAGTCGGTGGAACAAGTGCGCCATCAAGCCGCGGTCGTTAAGCGGCACGCGGAGGAAGAAGCCAAGAACCGTCGCGCCGAGATGATGGCTTCCGAACGACAGGCCGTTGCAACGGCGATCAATAAATCTGTTGATGCCGAGACCGTTTCCGCAGCTGTTGCGGCGGCTAGAGTAGAAGGGGGGAAAATCGCTACGGCCAGGGCAGAACAAGAGAAGCAGGAGCTTCAAGAGCAACTCAAAACTGCCAGGCCGGAAGCATCTAATGCGCACATTGCAGCTGAGACAAGAATCGACCTGATAAAGAAACAAAGAGAAGACCTCATATTGCATGATAGCGCTAGAGCATCCCTTCAGCACGTGCACCTAACTGACGTCGCGCGCCCATCGGCTAGGCCGATTGGGGGAAGTGAAGGAATTTTACCAGCGGTCCAACCGTCCGGCGTAGCGTCCTCACGAGAACAATTGGAGTTGATAACCATGGGAAGCGCGATGCCGCCTACGCTGAAGGTGAGGGCTGTGCCTCAGCCGCAACCCGCGAAAGGGGCTGGTGAGGTACAATGTTCGGTCTGTTCGAACCCGAAAGTCGGGGGCTGCGCCGCGCGTGGAGAGCCGGGGTGCAACGGCCACTTTGACACGAAACCGAAAAGATGTTCGTTGGCCAGTTGAACAGGAGAAGTGGGGCAGGCAGTGGAGAAAACGCAGCGTCGACAGTGACTTTCGGGCCCTACAGCAAAAGCTCCTTGAAGAATTGAGTGCGCAGAGGGGGGAGGAGCAAACTGAGGAACATATTCTAGCGCCGGCAGCTGCACCAGGGAGAGACAGGATGAAGC